CCAAATAAAGCAAGCAGAAGTGACAGTAATGCCAAAATAATTTGAACTTACCCACACATTTCCCAGACAAAGAGAACCTGCTGCGTGACTTTAAAGTTTAATGTCATATTCTGAAAACAATCGTGCTCACTGCTCTTATGTGGGGCTTTCATACCAGCACACGTAACATCTGCGTCTTTGCCAATAATAAAACAGACAGACTTTTTAGAGCAAAATAGTTCAAACGGCATTAACTAACATAAGGGGTATTTGTGCTTTTTTGTAGTTACTGTGAGCACAGGAACAATTGATGCTGTTCACCATCAGTCTCATGCACCTGATAGTAAATGAACATTAGTTATGGAACAGGGAGATATTTAAAGGATCTCTACGCTACTCATTAAAAGCTAAATCAGCAAGTTGACAGTAATAATGATTAAGATTCTGAACACAGCTATAGAAAGCAATACAGCCGTCATGACAGTCATCATATAGACAAATGATAAACATGGAGTCTAATAACTACAAATACAAGAACTTAAAATAAACATTGTTTTACAGGAGATACAGAGCATGACAGCCAATTCACTCAATGCACACAGTTAGCTGAATCAACTCTACAGTGACTGAAATGTGCACTCAGTGATGACAATTAGACAAAGGGAAACAATCCTCCCAATACTATGCACTGGCACGAGAACAGCAGTGGCCCATCCTCTAAAGTTCTGTGATGGCAATGCCCTCCTCCCTCTCCCACGCCAATGCATGTCACTAACACTAAGTATTCCCATATATACTATCCCACATGGACCTCGTTCAGCACTTACTAAGCTTCAGGAAATGTTAATGTCCTCTTGCCTCTGTGCTCAGTGAGGTTAATGGAGCCTTTTTGATATCAATGGGTGGGCACAATAGTTCTAGGAAGACTAGCTGGAGACCTGAAGTAGGATGCTAAGAAACCGAAATCCTTAAACTGTTAGCTTGCATGTACTGCTATTGTCTCCTCTTTGCCAAACAGAATATATTTCAAAATCATTGGAAAACTGGGGTTAACATTTTGCATAAGCACTTCAGTTATTAACTGGCTCACATTAACAATCAACTAGGCTAACATAACAAACAATTCTTGTTACTCAAACTGGCGTCATTGTAATGAGCTCCAAATTAATCTCATCCGCGCACAATCACTAATCTTGTTTTGTGCCAACTGAATTTTTAATCAGAACCGAGTGAATCATAGGTTGTTTTTAAAATACATTTCTAATACTTGTTGTCCAAAATGAATAAACACTAGAGCAGGGAAGAAGCCTTTTATTTACATTGAGAGAAGCTGATCTTATTTATGCATACTATACACAAGTATCGAATGCATATGACAGTTGAGTACATTTTTAATGAAAATAAAAAAATAAGTCTGTTTCTAGTGTGAATAGCATCATCAACCTGAAGAATTTAGCCCTCTGACTCTAATTGAAACTGTATTATATAAAAAACCCAACCCAAAATATAAGGAACAGTTCCCCTCTGTTAAGTTGTTCCTCGATGTCTACATCATTCTAGAATAAGATCAGAATGCACACAACCAGACCCTGTGACCAGTGGAGTAAATACTTCTGGTAAGGCATTTAAACAAGCATATATTTTGCAGTGCTAAACTTGAGACTCAACATGAGTCTCAAACTGAAGTGACTTACAATATTTGTGCAAGACACAGAAGCAAAACTGAGTTTCAATGAGCATTTTCAACTTCATTCTGTGATTGCAGTACCAATTTAACAAAGCAGTTGATTAGCTCTGCTTATTAAAAAAGGAGCACTCAGTGTACCACCCCAGTGCAGAAACACTGGCCCAACTATTTAGGAATTCTTCAGGAAAAAAACACCACAAAACCAAACCATAGTATGAAGTCTCCACCTACAGCATCTACTTTTTAAAATGCAGTATTTCTGGAATCTTGCTTTAGCTGTCTGCCTATAAGATGCTTAACTGAACACTTGTTAGCATGCTTGGTGAAAACCTAACTCGAAGGTCTGCCCATGGCCATGGAAACTGAAGGAATGACTGACGCCATCTGCAGCACAGCCATTCAAATGTCTTCAGGGAGCTCTACCGACAGCCTCTATTAAAGCCACATAAGCTTGAGGAATCTGGAGTACCTGGTTCTCATTTCAAGCTAAGCATAATACCTGACTCAAGCCATATAAGTGTGATGACTTCTGCTTGGAAAACAAGACATTCAGGCAGATGAGAGCAGCGCAGGAAGGCTCAACATCAGAATTCCCACAGATCCAGCTGTACATATTACTTACTTAGAGACTGCACTCCTCATTTAATGCCATCTACATGCTTTTGTGCATGGTAGATTTTGTTTTGATTGGCAGGAACCATTGCATCAAAAGTATCAGAAGACTGCTCAAGATTAAGAGGATTAAATTGCATTCAACATGCTAATCTATTTTTATTTAGTAGAAAGACATGGTAACACATAAAAGAATCCTGTTAATATCTTAGAATTCAATTAAAATTATCTTCATAAACAGCTCTGAGATTTGTGGAAAAAAGGGACTTTTATTCAAATATTTAGCATAATTATTAACATAACATTTTGAAGAAAAACTCTGCAAACCATGTTGAACACTGAAAGGCAAATGCAAAAGCAAAAATACTCCATATAGACCACAGCTGCAAGGTAGAGATAATGCACTCTGATAACATCAGGATGGACTGCAAAAGAATGGCCAAAAACCTTATCAAAAAGGTTACATTTACATAGTGAATACTATAGTAAGGTATAATGACCAAAAGAATGCTGTTGACTTGCAAATTTCCTTTTTGGTTTCTTTTTAATTAATTTTAAAATAGGCTGGTTCATATATCATCACCTGTCAAGGAGCGAATGGCTCTTCAAGACACTATCCAATAAAGAGGATGGGAAGTCTGTTCTGTGCTTAGGCAGGGGAAAAACACTCCCCAAAAGAGCATCATTAACGAACAATGTAAGAAGGAAAGAAAGAAAACTAAACAAGTTTTTATCCTTGCTAATGACTTATTTTCACATGAGAAGTATGGTACCATATCACTCCCAGCAAGCTTCTCCATCTGAATAGCATTTCTGCAAGAGGCCACAAATTGTCTTTATTTAATATCTCAGTTTCTATTTGTTATTAATTTCAGCTTTTCAGTACATTAAAAAGTGCTCCTCTTCTTTAACATGAAGTGTAGAAAGTGGTCGCTAGAATTAATACTTGCCAGGAAGTTGTAAGATTGTGAAAAAATAAAACATTAAAAGAGGAGAATAGAAGAAGTAGTAAATAAAAGAGTGTAAAATAATTCTAGATTTAGCATATAAAGTAAAACCTTTCCTATAAATGACTAACAAATAACTCTTCAGCAGCAGCCTGCCTCCTTCCCAAAAGAGCCTGCAAGCTTAACAGCAAAGTGACTGGGGAAAGAAGACATTCACCTTTTAAAAATTCTGCTAGGCATGCTAAAAATAATTATTAAAACTAATTATTTTAAGATTGTGTAGCTTCTTATAGTAATATAAGTAATATAATTATATTATACAGTAATATAATTTACTGTGAAGTGAATAAACCTATCACTAAAAAAGAACACATCTGTCACATCACACATGAAGGACGTGTTCAACTCTGTGGCCACTGCCTTGCGTTCATCCACCATGACACGTGTACCCCAGCACTGAACAGTACTGCATGACAGCCTCTAACTTGCTTTGTGGAGCTCTGGAGTCATGCTCATAAAACACAAGAGGCTGCAGGAGAGGACTGTGCAAAGAGCCTAGCAAGGCCCTGCACCAGGAGAAGTTCAATCGAGGAACAACTCCCAGCTGCATGTTTGTGCCAGTGACTCCCATACACCCTTACAGGCACCTGATAAAATGAAATATTTAAAGTGTCAATTGATTTTTGGCCAATTTTCTAATAAATGCTGAAAGTACAGAGGAAGTGACCAAGCAGGAATTACAGTAGAGCTCTCTGGCAAAGGCATACTTTTCTGACACAGTCACTAAACTCTGCAACATAACTACAAGCATCGCGGACTTACTGGAAAAAGCAAATGCACCCAAATCCTATTGACAAACGATACTGTCAACCCAGAAACAAGGCTTCAGATCTGCAAAGGCATCAGAATAGAGCCCAAAGAGAGGGGGAGAGTAAAAGAAAAACACTTTGGGTTTCAAAATACCTTAATATGGCTTTAGTAACTTCTGAGAAGAAGTATTTTAAAAACATTAATAGCTTCCTACCAGGCAAGGTTGGATGAGGCTTTGAGCAACCTGGTCTAGTGGAAGGTGCCTCTGCTCATGGCAGGAAGGTTAGAAGTGGATGAGCTTTAAGGCCCCTTCCAACCCAAACCATTCTGTGATTCTATGATTTTTCAAACAAGGCTTTACTACTTGAGGCTAACTCTGAATAAGCAACAAAATGCTTGGTTTCAGATTGTGATATTTCTTTTCCACAATAATAAGGCTGCATAAAAATATTTTATTGCTAATTCCTGACCCTCCCATCTTTTAGAAGGGCTTTTCTTTGTCTTGATAGTAACACTTAACACATGAGCAGCTACCTTTCTTTGATGCAGTGGTTCCAACAACATTCAACCTGGCTCTATCCTTCCTCACAGGAAAACAGAAATCAACATCGCTACACACACTTATGCTGCTTTCTAAATGCTTTTTAAAGACACGATAATCCTTTCTGATGAGACAGACTTTTAAGATGGCCAAATACTAAACAGACATATTCTTAAAGATACTCTGAATAGTTATTGTAAATGTCATCTTGATTAAAATACATATAAAAAAACCCAACCCACATTTATGAATTCAACTTTAAATCACATTAGAAGACAAAGCATTTATACTCACATAACAATGAGAACAAAGGTGTTTTTTTCTCTTTATTCTGCATTGTTAGAAAATTCCTACTGCTGAAGCTATTTAAAAAAAGCCAAGCCTCCTTGCATGGTATAAGGCTCTCAAACAGTGAAGTACTTACATGCAAGGCAGAAGGATCTGGCAAAAATTCAGCATCCTCTCCAAAGATAAAATCTGGTGGCAGGTCAGGATAGTGAGCATTGAAAATTATATCCCCTGAAAAGTAATAAATGAAAACACTGTTTGCATTTTTATGTACGTGCTTATAAATACATAGAATATTGTACATATGATACACATTTTCATATAAAATTTGATAGCTACATTAAATATATTTCATGTATATGTCCGTATATTTTACAAAACTTCACATGCAAGATAAGCATCAGATGTTTTGGGGGATGAAGTCAAATTCCTGAGGCACAGCTTCTTCCTCCTCTGCAAGCAACGAAACGTGAAATACATTATTGCTTCAAATCTCAAATGGCAATTCAAACACTACTGAAGGTTGCCTCAAACCATCAACTTAGAAAAGTAATCTTGTTTTTAAGAAGTGCCACATTTAGATTGCTGTGCTTGGCATATTAACTTAAAGTCAAATGCAAACTACTCAGATTGGAATTTTCAAAATACTGAAGCTTTCAAAACTTAGTAGCACTTACTCCCTAGTCTCCTTGCCACCCCCAACTCCTAGAAGGAAGAACATGCAGTTCAATAGGAACCATTCCAACTATCCAAATTCAGGCCAAGAGAAATGCAGTATTATGCATCTAAATGGAAAGACTAAAATTAACTAAAACGATAAAACTTCATCACAGCTTGGCACTGAGTTCTCATCTTGCCAGTGTCACAAGATAAGCGGTTAATTACTGATGTGACAGTGCAGTGAAATTTGGGCTGTATTATTTCACTAGTAAACATACTTCAGAGTTCATATAGGTTGAGGTGGTCATCTGCATGTGAGGTCTTTAAAAAAACCCACCCATAATCACTCTTTCCTCTTTATGAAGATATGACAACATAACTCTGAGCTTTTACATAAAGCATATTTGTGAGGTAGCAAGCATTAGAAGAAAGAAGTCAGTGCCTACACAAGACATTCAATGTGATAGTTTTAATTGCTAGTATTTTGTAAACTTATCCTGCCTCTTGCTGGAAGCAAGGATGCTGTAAAGATTAATTTGCAGAGGATAAGGGCTCACCACCAAGAAGCCAACAGCCAGGCTGCAGTAGGTATGCTCTACAGTATCACTCTAAATCATTAACTCACTGATCATGGGACTCAGTAGAACACAGTGTAGGTTTATCCTGCTCTCGCACTCCTTCCTTTCACAACTGTCAGGAGCACATGTAAGTATGGGACATGGCAAATAACAGAAGTCTGCCAGTTGAAATACCCAACACAGTCAACAAAATCAATCTTTCATTTCATTTCATTTCAAAGAAGAACAAAACAGGCGCCAACCCTAGAGGATACTGCATAAACTTGCAATAAGAAAGGCACCTATATTAAGTAAAATAAAATAATTACTCAACTGCTTAAACCTTAATGCAGCAGTAAAATTCAGAAAAATTGACATTTATTAGACTGGATAGCTCCTATGCCACCATAACTCAACCTTTTTCTTCATATTTACTACAATCAAAAAGTTGTGTATTGCTCCTTGCAACAACCTCACCAACTTCTACATCCAGAGCAGGCAACTCTTGAGGTTATGTGGTAAAGGAGATGGCACCTTTATACATTCTTTGACTGATCTTTGCTTAGATAAAGGTGTGTTAGGAATAACTCAGAACACAGCACAATGAAAAAGCATGGCCTGTGACTTAGGCAACCCAGTCCTACTTTGAAGGAAAGAACTGTATCTGTGGTCTTACCATGTTTTTATGTGATGCTAAGTAACTCATTTAACACACACTTTTTGTATTGCAGCTGCTAGTTGCATGCTTTTCATTCTCTGCATTCCTGTTTTAACAGAGTTGATGGAACAGTGCACATAACTACAGCTCTGCTCACCAGGAGCTGCACTCCAACTACACCGACACTACAAAAGGCTGCTCAGAATAAAAAAAGGATCAAAATAACTGCATATTTTTCATGTTATAACTCCGTATTTGATTACTGAAAAGCTGTCATAGAACCTTAGATCATGAGGTGGCTCCAAGACTCTTCTAAGAGTAGTGAGACTGCCATAAACCGTATTCAAGTCTGCGAGTTCCACAGTAACGGGTGAAGTTCAGCAAAGCTGCGACAGTAGCTGCAATGTGAAAGTTCAAGCAGGTACAAACTTGTTTCCCCCCCAGTGTTTTCAGTTCTACAGCTTGAAGTGAATTCACAGCAGCCCCCAGTACATCATTATATGCAGTGATGCAGTATGACAGTAAACTGAAATTGGCATTATTAGCTTAAAATGCTAAGGGGTAAACTTTCACAATTTGAGGTTTGGGTCAGCTGCATATCCATGCAGTGATTCCTGCTGTGGAACCAGGATCAATACCTAAGGACAGGACCCTTTCTGACCACCCAGGTGTGATGCATGGTCATGCTGATGTTAGGCACATCACAGTTGCAGCTGGTCAAACCAATCTACTACCTCTCTTACATGCCCATAGTTGTTCTTTTTTACTTTCTGTCACAGCCCTTCTCCTACCAAGTGGTATATCACTCCTTATTCACAGTGAATGAATAACTACGCAGGTATTTTGGTTTAAGATCTACTGCCACCACAGAGCTACTCAGTACAAGGCTCAGAATCCAGAGTCAAAAATTAACATTGTGATATTTTATTTTCTGTTACTGTTACTTATAATGGCTGTAATTGCTTCTACTGGCCTAGGATAAACATGCCTCAAATCCAAACTCCCAAGTCCCTTTAGTAAAAGTAATTTTCAAACCCATATTTATCTCGAGATTATTTTTCCCTATAGTACAGTCATTTTCCAAAACGCTACACAGTACATGGCTGAAGGGTTCTCCAGGTTTCAAAATAAGCAAAACTATTATTTCAGTGCCTGTTGATCATACAATAACAAAACACTAGCGCTGAGACATGCTCAAAACATTTTACAACCCCATGGAACCAATCAAATCATGCTGTCGCCCTCATTTTCTAACTAAGCCTGAAACACAACACCCTTTTCCTACAGTACCATAGGTTTTTATCCAAATGTAAACCCCAATTTATTCTGCTACAATCAAACCTCACACAGGCTGGGTGACATTAAAGACAAAAAACTTCAGACCCAAATGGCACTTCAATGTAAACAGTTAGAAAAAAAGGTGTGCTTTCTATCATCAGTGGTTTTCATTCTGGCAGTTAAATACTGCACCTTACTACTGAAGACCTACCCTCAGAACATTTTTTTCCACTGACTTAAAAAGGAAAAACGCATCCCCTTGCTCAAATCTTATTCTAGTAAGTCTCACTTATGCCATGAGTCCAAAGGCATTCAGCTAGCTGCTAAAAGGAAAGAAAAAAGAACCTTTTTCTGAGCCATGTTAGACATTCACCCACGTGATCCCTGGCCTCTCTATCTTTTCTGTTCCACGCTCTCCTCTTCCACATAGTTTCTCCCATGTCTTGCTTATTTTACCATACTAGGACAGAAAAAGCAACACCTCTGACTCTCAGAAGCTTGGGTACTACGGAATGAGTTTGCTCTATCCACAACTATGAGCATGAGGTATTTTCAGAAGTTATATATTCTTCACTAAGGACTAAAGACTAATACAACTAATTATAACTAATATAACTAAAAAGTTATATATTCTCCACTAAAGACTAAAGGGAAACAACCCTAAATCTGAATTTTATTCTTGTTAAATACCACAAACCAGAGAAATTAAAACTGCAGTTAACGGTTTGCTTGGCAGGATTATGACACATAAATCAAAAAACGCTTCTTTACAGTCAAATACAAGATATTTAAACCAAAAACAATGGCCAAGGCCACAGCAAATCTGGCTTTGCTTCACATTAATGTTAACACTAGTCTCCGCATTGGGCTTACAAAATATAAGGTGTTCAATATTTTGGATCACAAGCTACCAGTTTGTCCTGACCCAGCAAAAATACACATTTTATTTTTCTTTTTAGCAAATTCTTTTTTTTTTTTTTAGCAATTTACAATTACAAATGTAGTTGAATAATTGCACAGTTTACCGGTGGTTTACGTTCCTTCAGTATAACTGTGCTGCGGTGGAACCATAAGGTTTTCAACCAATAAAGCCATTTGCAAACTTATTGTGCTTAAAGAGTCTGAGAATGGTTACCATTTTAATTTGGAAAGCAAAACCAGCAAAACCCCCTGCATTCTCTCCCCTTCTCACCTAAATGAAACAAATACCCTTTTCCCTTGCATCTCCAACCCACGAGTATGCAGATCCTCATGTTTCAACTGTTATTCATTCGCTTGACAGTGGTGTTCTCAGGGCTACTGACCATTACCATCCCACTGTTAGAACAAAGGAAGCAAAACCTTCACACTTATATCATTTCTCTCATTTCTATAGATATACTAAGCAATAATTACTTGAGTGGAACTACATTTCCAATTAAATACTACTACAGAACTTAAAATTACTTTAATAAAGTTAAAGCCATGGGCTCAAAGATAAATTTAGAAGAAAAGGGATGTATGGCAGATCTTTCTCTTTTCATTATCCAAAAATATTACTTTCTCTTCCTTTTATCTCCTCAGGCAAACAACATTATATTTTGAAATATTTTACTTCACAGAATTTCAAAAGAAAAGATAATATGCTCCCAATGGTCAAAAAAATCATATTTAAATCTATAATTTCTTTTAAAACACACACACTGTTCTCTCATCTATCAAAATGCATAAGCAATTCTAACAAAGTAGTAAGGATTGACTTAAAGCAAGACAGGTGTACCTCTCAAACAGAGATATTTCTTACAGTTGCTTTCCACTGGCCTCTCCTATATACAGTTTTTCCTCTCCTGATAACTTCCTTTTTGAGATATTCTTCTTTCTTTTTAACCATACCGTATATTTGGTAGTACTGAAAGATCGGGTGCCATCACCTTAACATCCCTAAAGGCAGCAAAATTAGGAAACAATGTATCAGTTAACTTCCTAAACTCTACTTTTGAGAGCATATCTGTATTCTTCAGCTTTTACTGACCCAAGAATGTCTAAGTCAGCACTAAGTATGGAGAATAACCATATGTGCCCACTGCAGCCAGTATAAT